CCAGGAATTTGGGTTGAAAAGACACTATGGATAAACTGTATCTTGAAGTAAAAAAAAAAAACAAAAATAGAAGGGGGGAGCTTAAAAAGCTACCTATGGCTTAATGAGCTTTCCTTCTATCAATCTTTAAAATTACAGTTGTTTTTTAAACTGAAATCCAGAGATTCCATTGGCTGCATTTTAAGTTTTCCAGAGCTTTTATCATTGTTGTCTGGAAGAGCAAGCAGGAAGGAATGTAAAAAAAGATGCTATCATACAGGAAGCCAAAATGAATCAATTTTGTGATGGCATCTGCTACTTTCCTTTTAATGTCACAAGAGCAACAATAGAAGCTTCATACTCAACAGATAACTTCATACTGATGACAAGCATCTTTAGAAAATTAGCCAAATTACCCACTGTAATTAGCTCTCTTGCAAAGTTAAATAATATAAAATTAAAAATTACTGAGCGATTAAACTACAATTATACCAATTCTGAGCTTCTGAATGAACAAACTGCATGTATACTTGGCAAAGAAAACCAGGATGAGAACAGGAGCAACAAGTCAAATGGGCTGCCAAAAATCTATGTTCTTTTTGAGGGGTTGGGGAACAGAGTAGAGGACTAAACTTGCTACAAATATAAACACTGTTTATTACCAAGCTATGATAAGTTGAAATCTGAAATTTCAACTGGGAATTGCTATTATACTATACATACATACACCCACTGCATAGTACATTGCCCCCGGGCAAAGTGAACTGCAGGAAATTTCACAAGTAACTCCCTGCTCCTTACCATATTATATAGCAGAGGTGTTGGGTTGCCCCCAGGTTAAGCCTTTTGCTTTTCAGTTGAGTATTTGTTGCTAATATGCCAACTTTCTCATATTAGCGGTTTCATATTAGATTAGATTTTTGTCCTTTGAATGAAGATTCTCTCAAGAATCACAGCAAAAAATTGAGTGATTCAGAATTCACCAATTAACCTTCAATGCCAGAAGCTTTAGCAGTTTGTAATAAAAATTCGGTTTGGATATCAAGATCAGGTAAGACTAAAAAAAAAAAAACAAGGTAGAAGCATTGAAGATCTTGCTGCCCAGCATGTGCTGTTAGTCTGGCTCAAATAAATCTTATAAAAATTCTCTAATAAAATTTAAAAAAAGAAACTAAGTAGCCCTGGCCAGGTAACTCAGTTAGAGCACCATCCCAATACACTAAGGTTGTGGGTTCTCCAGTCAGGGCACATACAAGAATGAATCAATGAATGCATGAATGGGTACAACAACAAACTGATGCCCCCCCCGCCCCCCATCCTCTCTCTAAAATCAATTTAAATTTTTTTTTTAAGAAACAAGGTAATTTGAACCAACCCTCTCTACCAGTACTTTGATATAAACTACATTTACCTGCTCTTAAAACTTTCCATAAAAGAAAATTTAAGTTTAAACAAAATTCTAAAATTTTCTTGAGGAATAGTTTGGATTTGAGTAAAATATCAAAACAATTCTCCCATGCACAATGTACTTTGGACTATATTCCAAATACTTTTATTCTGTTTTTCTGCACTTACCTGTAATGTTAGTATGTCCATGCTCTAGTACTATGGAACATTTAACAGTAACTCATACACATGTAATACAAAAATAAAAGTTCACTTTGACCAATGAGGTTTAATTCATGTTACTTATTAAATACGTTGCAAGGTAATACAAGAACATGTTCTAACATTTTATAGATGTGATGAAATCTTAGTTATACTGGCTGCCTGCTTTAGTCTGTTCTGAACCTCTCACACCTGACACCTGCTGATGGGAATGTAAAATGGTACAACCATCTTGGAAAAGTCTGCCAGTTCCTTAAATGGTTAAACAGTTACCACAATTTCACCCAGTAATTCTGCGCCTACGTAAAATACCCAAGAGAAATGAAAACATATGTCCACAATGAAACCTGAGCACAGATATTCATAATAGCCCAAAAGTAAAAACAACCTAATGTCCATCATCTGACAAATGGATAAAAATGTGATATCTGTACATGGAATATAACTTGGCCATGAAAAGGAATGAAGTAGTGATACATAGTACAACATGGATAAATCTTAAAAAGATTACATGAAATGGGAAAAAAAAAAAAAAAGCCAGTCACAAAATACCACATAGTGTATAATTCTATTTATAAGGAATGTCCTGGATAGGCAAATCTAAAGACAAAAAGTAGATTAGTTGTTGCCTAGGACTGGGGGTGGAGGGATAGGAAAATAAAGGGGTGATAGCTAAAGGGTACGGTGTTTCTTTTTGAGGTGATAAAAATGTTTTATAATGAAAATGTAGTAATGATTGTACATAACTGTGAATATACTAAAACCTATCAAATTACACACTTTAAATGGGTGAATGTTATGTATGTAAATTATAACTCAATAAAGCTGTTATTTAAAAAAATAATCTGTTCTGAGATGTGAGGTAATTGCGAATCAGCAAACCTCTTCCATAAAGGTTTTCTGGTCAATAGTAAAATAATTAGTTAAACTAACGTCCAATTTACTTTATTGTAATTGGAACCAGCTTGCAGTATTTTGTTATGTACATTTCTAAAATGTGAATGCAGTATAAGACATCATTACATCAGATATTCCAGGCAGCCTGCCATGAAACATTTTTACCAGCCCCCCCCCCCCCAAAAAAAACACCCATCTTAAAGGCATCCATTTAATCAACCTCAGAGTATATGTTCTTGTAACCTCTTCTCCTTATAAGCTGTAATTTCCCTAAAACTCTCATGTTAAACAGTACTGGGCATGATTAATTCACTCATTAATTCAACAAACATGTGAACCCAAACAGAACACCAGGCACTGTTTTAGACGTGTATGTACGCATGTGCACACACAACAAAGTTTCTGCTCTTGTGGAGCTTACAATCTCATAGGACAAGATAAAAAATAAACAAATACTGGTTTTAAGACAGATTTTTTAAACAGGGTGCTGTGCTATGGAGGAGCATTACTTAATTTTATTTTTCAATTTTTTTTCTTTATTGATTTTTAGAGAGAGAGAGATAGAAACATCGATAAGAGAGAACATCAATAGGCCGCCTCCTGCATGACCCCCTGCTTGGGGGTGGGGCCCACAACTCGGGCATGTGCCCAGACTGGGAATCGAACCGGTGACTTCCTGGTGTGTGGGTCAATGCTCAACCACTGAGCCACACCAGCCAGGCTGGAGAGGTATTATTTTAGATGGAGTAATTAGGAAAAAAGGCTTCTCTAGAAGTAATGTTTGAGGTGAGAAACAAAGGTACCAGCCACACAAAAATTAGGGGGAAAAAACTATGCAGAGGAAATAATTCTTAAATGGCACAATCAGGATGAGAAAAAAGGAGGATTAAACTGTATGCTGGTGGTGACCAACTTTCCTCTGTAATTCTCACAGAGAATTCCATTGGCTTACAAGAGTGTCTGATAAGGTGACTCACAGACAGTGGCTGGAATAAGATGTCTTATGTACCTTAAACTTTTTTTTCCTCTTTTTATTGATTTTTAGAGAGAGAGGAAGGGAGAGGGAAAGAGGGACAGAAACATCAACTGGCCGCCCCCTGCATGCCCCCCACCGGGGATCAGGCCTACAACCTGGGCATGGCCCTGACTGGGAATCGAACCGCCAACCTCTTGGTACAGGGGTCAACACTCAACCACTGAGCCACACCAGCCGGGCTGTACCTTAAACTTTTATTTATTTATTTATTTTTTATTTTTTTATCCTCACCCGAGGATAATTTTCCATTTTTTGTTCAGATAGAGTGGGGAGGAAGAGAGAGAGAAAGAAACATCTATGTGAAAGGGACACATCGAGTGGCTGCCACCCGCACGACCCAACCAGGGCCAAGGACAAACTGCAACCAAGGTACATGCCCTTAGCGGGAACCAAACCCGGGTCTCTCTGGACCGCAGGCCGACGCTCTAACCGCTGAGCCAAACCGGTCAGGGCTGTACCTTAAACTTTTAAAGGGTCTCACAACTCTTCAACAACAGGAGGCCCGTGGTTAACCCAACCTAAAGTGATCTTTCCTCCCTCTTCTTGTACCTCTTGGCAACTGTTTGGACCACTCATTCTTCCAAATGCATTTGGTGCAAGGCACAGTGTTAGGAGTGCCAGGACTTAAAGACAAACCAGACATGCACACCTCAGCCAGCAATTCAGGCAAGAAATAGACTAGTAGCACAAAAAACACAGGCATAACGACAAACACAATAAAGTAAATACAGGCTCCACACAAAAAATAGCTATAAAATGTTAGAGTGGCCATAGATTACTTCCAGCTTCAGCATCAGGGGAAGCTTCATGGGGTGGGGGCATGAGAGCAGGGAGAGTCTGTGATGTATGAAGAAGACTCAAGACGTGGGGGTATAATCATATTAATTTGTTGTATCCCTAATTAACTTTAAATATATTTTTTAATGTTTTTAACTCCCCAACCCAGTTACAAGCTTAGGGAGAGAAGGCTTGATACTCCTTATATTTCTCTGTGATAATTAGCATAGTATTTTGCAGAACTAAGCAATTCATTCAGCACTAAATGTAAAGCTAAATTATTTTTTGCTTCATAGCATGGTTTAGACCTTTTAAACAGAGGATCCCAAAAACCTCTTAATACATATTATTTCATAGGGACATTCCTAAAAGTTTTTCTTAAAAAAAAAAAAAAAAAGGTAATGCAATGTGCTTCTGAATACACACAGATATGCAAACATTTTTGTAAACACCTCTGTCTGCATATGTATATATCACTATAACTTAATTTCAGAATCTCCCAAGATTATTTTAAACTTTTGCTAAACCAAAGTTTGAACTTATGATAAAAAATTTTTTTCACTGATCAAACTTTCCCATCCAGGCCTTGAAAATCCCTTCCCATTCCCAATAAAACATCTTAAATCAGAGAAGAAAAGCCAAACAACATTTTTTTAAGGCAGTGTCTCAACATCTCTAAAAAATATTCCATGGCCAAACTCACCATAGAGAGCTGTCCAAGTTTGATTAATTACATCTAGACACACAGTTCCTGACCTGAAACAGATGGAAAGAATGGCATTTTTTAAAAAATTAGAAAGTTAGTTGCATGTAACTGGCAACTAATTTTTATTTATTAAGAAAAATACTTTTAATAAATCATTTTTAAAAATTGTAATTTGGGAAAGAATGAGAAGGTGAGGCAAAAGTGGGTTTATTTACAGTTGTGAGTAAGCGAAACAGTTTACTCTTACATTATTATTTATTGATTATTGTATCATTTTCCATATGAACAACTATAAACCTACTTTGCCCCACCCTGTATATAAAGTCTTAAGTTTCTCCTTATAGACTAAAAGGGAAAAAAGCTATACAATGGAGAAACTTTGCCAGGTGATGAGAATTAACACTGGTAACCAGGGACAGACAAACCTGTGTGCCTCCAAATAAGATACCCTGAGAAGGACACAATCTTACTTTGTGGTTTTCTGGCCTTAGGTGCATACTCTGAATGTAATAGTAAGGAAACATCAAACAAATCCAAATTGAGGGACAGTTGTCTCATAAGATAAATCGTCTATATTCTTTAATAATGTCAATTTTATAAAAAGCAGAGGAACTGTTCCCGGTTAAAATAATTTTTAAAAAACATAACAACTAAATGCAATACATGAGCCTGGACTGGATCCTTGACTGAATGAAAAAAAAAGTGCTAGAAAGTACATTGGGAGAATATGACAGTAGAATAAAAAGTACTACTACATTAATATTCAATTCCTGAGTCTGACAACTATATTGCAGTTACATAAGCGAACATCCTTGTTGTCAGGATGACTGCTACATAGATGTATTAAAAGACAATGGTACATGATGCATGTATACAACCTACTCCGAGTTCAGAATACTCCACATGTATGTATACGTGTGTGTATATGCACAAAATATCAAAATTTAGTGCCATGACAAGGAAAAAAATGCAGAACAAATAATCATGTATTCTAAACAACACTGGAAGTAACAAAACAGGAGGCACTGGTATCACATTTTAAAATATCACTAATTTTAGAAGAAAATAAAGGGATAATTAAGATTCAATAACTGAAATGAAACTCTAGTCATTCATGTTTGCTCTCTCACAAACTGAGAAATAATACTTTAAGGGCTGAAAATAATAAAATCTGTATACTGAATAGATCTCTGAATCATGTCCATACAAAGAGAATGGAGATGTGGAGTATTACAAATGCTAGCAGGCTATCAAGGGAAATGAAGTACCCATTCTGAAAATGGAAAAACTAAATAGTCCAATAGAATTTGAATTAAGTGGTTTAGAATATCATATCCCTGGGACTCTATAATTTAAGTGACCATTCATACAGTGTTATCTGCTGATAAAATCCAAAAAGATAATTGAAGCTTCTGTATAATGAAGAAAGAGATGAACTCTAATCAAGGGCAGTTGCTGCTAAGATTTAAACATTTTTAAAGTTACTTACGCTTCATCAATGTTGGGATGGAAAATTTTATTCATGAATCCTGTAAAAAGAGATGTTAATTAGCAGCAAAAAGTATCCAGAGAACAATTAAAGTATTTCTGTACTGGAAACAATTTCAGTATTGGAAAAAGGTGTTGATACCCATAATTCATGACTTTCAATCTTAGATCTTTGATTACTGATAAAACTATATAGTCTCCTTACAGTAGCATTTATTTAAAATACATTAGAGTTCTATTTAAAAAATGACCAAACCTTGAGAGCAATGCAACTTTTTATACAAAATAATCATTAAAAGAAATTGTTTTCTGAGCTATGAAGGTACTTGCCAAGAAAACTGATAGTATAAATGGTTTATAACTAGTGTCATGATAAAAGTTAAGAAAGCTACTCTCTGACTCCCTTCCCCAAAGTTTTACTGTTCAATCTCTAAATTTGGAGGTTCTGCATTTGAACTTCTCTTTCTGAAGCTCAGTTACCGGTATCATTCTGCTACACTGTGTGTGTAACATGAATGAAACTGTTGAAATGCTAAAGGAGTATGGCTTCCAAACCACAAAGGATTTCATAAGAACGGTGACCAAAATATTTCCTTTAACTTTAGTTTACTCATTCCAGGAAACCCAGTTTTGATTAAAATTGGGGCAACCAAGGAATGAGGCAAGGAGTTAAAGAAAAAAATTCTATAAGATGGCTAGATCTTTCAGGGATCCAAGTTTTTAAATTTATTCCTAGAAAAACAAATATAGACTTTAACAAATATAGTGATATTTCAATTCCAAGAAGAAATTACTTTATTTCTAACTTAAAACTGGTGATTTAATCAGTTTGTGTGCATGCAGATGGCAGTATTCTAAAGCAGGGATCCACTGTCAAAGCTGTCATTTTATCATCCTTATCAACTCATTTCCTTTTAAAACTTCCTATTCCATTCCACACTTTCAATAAATTGAAACTCCTTATTAAAGTGACCATCACTATTTCCCACTCACACTCTCTCTCACCCCCACTTCACACAGTCTCACTTTCCTTTATTCAAAATATATTTGGTCAACGTCTATGTGTCAGATACTGTGCTTGTTTAGGGTACAAAACAAACAATACACTCTTCTTGAGGAGGTCACTGTAGCAGTGGGCAAGAGACATGAAGAATTAACTGCCATGTGTGTCAGAGTTGATACAGTCAGGGAGAGAAAGCTGTCAGGCAAGATGCAGAGAAGTGGCATCAGAGGAGGACCCTCAAAGATGTTGTGACAGAGAGGACATCTCAAAAAACCTAAGAAACTTCTCTAGACTTAGAAAAAGAGGGATAAGAACATCAAACCCCAGGTATGTCAGTCCTTGCTTGCTCTAGCCACTCCAAGTACTAATTATGTTTCTAATTTTTTTAATCCTTTGTGTTGAAATAGCTTAATGTTTTATCTACAACTATCAGAGAAAGCCCATACAATGTTTGAATTACTCTGATGTAAAAAGAAAAGCCTAGTGTTCAATTACAATTTCATATTAATTTTTCATTAAGAAAATGAAAGATATTTCAAAGTCTAGATTTAAGAGGTATGTTTTATGAAGAAATTATACTAAGCCAATGGAAATGCTCATTATCTTAAGGTTCAGAGGAGAAAAAGTAGGATATAAAGCTACATGACCCTAGAAATACACTAATAACAGGGGTTCGAGAAGACCTGTGAGGATTATTTGTTGCAACATTATTTATAAAAGTCAAAAGGGACTGGAGAAACTGTAGTACATCCATATACTGGGAGTCCCATCAGCCAAGGTAATGAACTAGATCAGTAGGTATCAACTTGGAGAGATCCAAACCTGAGGGGGGAATAAAGGTTCCAGAATGATATATTTACAGCTTAACACTGTTTAGAGAAACTAAAACAGAGCAACACAATATATTCTCTATGATAACAAGTATGGAAACTGTACTGTGAGGGTGCAGGGTCAATGATGGAGTGGGGAACAGAATGGAGAATGGTAATTAAAGATGAGTTTATTTATAATACTATACGCCTTTTTAAAAGAATGTGCTTGTATATTATTTGCTCCATTTTTTTAAAAGTGTGCACATAGATGGGAAACTGGAAGCAAATATGTACAACTGTAAACATGCTTAATTCTTTGTGTTGGAAATATTTTCTCCATTACACTTTTCAAAGCACATAACCCCTACTCCAACTCCCATTTCAGAAGTAGGATCACAGCAACATAAAAAGGCTAGAGGGAAATAAACAAGTGTCAACGGTAGTCAACTTGAGAGGTGCCCCCATTATTTCTACTATCACTTTTCTGTCTCGCCAAAATTTCTACAATATGTAATTTTAACAGTTGAAAAAATTTTCAAGTAAAAAATTATGAATAGTGGCAAACATTCTAAAGTAAACCTAATTATTCAAAGGATATCAAGTGCTGAACCCTTTTAAGGAAAAGGGTCACTGAAATCAACTATTAAACACTCTTGTTTAAATAATATGAATTCATTAAATAAACTTAGAAGATCCTCAGGTTGTTAGGCATTTGGTTGGTCCTCAAGATAAATTACATATAGGAATATACTGCTACCACAAATGCCAAGATACTTTCTGATGCATGGGAAACGCTAACATTTAGCCACTATAAGGTTTAATTCAAGTGATTTGTTCTATTATGTGAAAAATATTTTGCTTGAAGCTACAATTAAGAACTTAAAATTCATCTTGATACTTAAAATACTACTTCTGCTAAAATTCTCATAAGTCACACTTAGTGAAGCAACATCTATGATAGAAGTTTCCTGTGCTGCCTACAGGTAAGAATCACTTGGAGAGCTCTTTAAAAACAGAAGTGCTGTTAGAAGGTGGCAAGTGTTATGGTGAACACACAACAAAGAAGGGGACTCGGAATAGAAATGTTGGGTGTGGGCTGCAATTTTAAATAGGATGGTCAGGAAGAGCCTAATGGAGAAGATGACTTGATCTGAAGAAGATGAGGAAGGAATCATTTAGTATCTGGGGGAAGAGTGTTTATACAGCATGAACAGTCAAGTACAAAGTGCACCAGGAGCTTGCCTGATGTGTTTGAAGACAAGCAAAAAAATAAGTAGTGAAAATGAAGTGGAGTGAGTAAAGGACAGAAGTCTAGCAGTGAGGTCAAAGAAGTGATGAACATTTGTGGGCCGTTTTAAGGACGGTGGGTTTCATTGAGTTAGGTGGGAAGCCTGCTGGGGAAAGAATGACGGGGAATGGCAGATCCCAAGCAAAATGGAATGAGCTGTCTCTCCTACAGTAAGAATGAAGCTTCAAAAACTTATGTCACAGGGAACTTCAAACATGTAAGTCAAGAAAACAGATATGGCAAAAGACCTTTACATGTTTATCAAAATTGTCTCTGAAAGGTTAAGGTGCCTCCCTCCTTGTACAAGGCCTGGAGATTACATTTGGAATCAATACAGTTTCCACACTGTTTTCAATTAAATCTAGATTTTTGGCTTAGTTGAGTCTAAGAGTACATAATATAGAGGGCCAAAAAGGACTTAGTAAACATATTCTTAAGTAATATATGGGTTGGAGCCCAGTCCCCAGTGCCCCCGCTAAAGTATAAAACACTATCACAGCTGTGAGACAGAAGGCAAAACCAGTCTGTAAAGAAAAAAAAAGTATTAACAGAGACTTGGGGCTAGTCCCAACTCTGCTTATTAACTGTAGGCCTTAGGCAGGTCACTTCGATTCTGTGGAGCCATTTCTCTACCTGCAAAGAGAAATAGCTAGACTATATAATCTGTAAAATCCTCAGTTTTATTCTGCTTGTAAATGGACTATCAGCTCTAAAAATACAGGATTAATAACAATGGTCAGAGCTCTGAATACAGAAGACTTAAGGGGAAATTTCCAGAGATCAAGTCCTCAATGGAAATTTATTCTGTAAAACACATTTTTAGGAACAGAAGTGTTCTGGAGAATACAAAGCTACCAACATGCTAAAATGCCACCAAGAGACACAAAATCTGTTGACTATTCCAAAGTAGGCAGAAAACAAGGGTTTATAACTTTGCTTCTGAAGAATAAGCACAGCCAGACCAACTCTAACAATTTCCAGACTACAATGCTCTCTTCCTACACTGGGCTTTTACAATTGTTAGAAAAATACCCAAAACAAATGGAATGTTTCTCCTGTACATTTGTTCTTGGACAGGCTGTGGGCAGCATTTTGGCAAAGCCATTTACATTCTGGATAATGATGACAACTATGGAACTTCTAGACGAGGAGGGGAGCAAATGAGAAAGAACAGGCTAGGAATTCAGAAAAGAAATGTTCTCAGGGCTGAGCATGTTTGCCCTGGCATGTTCTCCTTCCTTTTGGCAATGCTAATACCACACTAATGAATACTTCTACAACAAGAGAATTTTCCCAACACTTGTTTCTATTTGACCAGGAACTATTTTAAGAGAACATATTTTGAAAACTGCTTTTATGGAAACATGATAAGTGGAAGCAGCAAGTCATTTTTAATCTACATGATTTAAGATTTTAGTCACTACTAGACATTTTCTAATGATATATTTCAGTGATTTGACCAGATAAAATTCAGAACTCCCTTTGTTTAAATATTTCAGACAATTATTCTCTGGCATGGCTCAAGCACTTGTAAAAAGTGGGGGAGGGAAGCAACAAAACAAATGTTTAGCTAAAAAGCTTACTACCTCTTTTATCTTTTAGCAAAAGAGAATCAGATGATTATTCTGGAGGAAATCACACTGAGTTTATGAAAAACTACATATTTAAAAATATAAAAGCACAGATTAAAAAATAGAAACATAACATGCTTTTGGTTTGTTCCACCCTAACACTCAACTGCTCTAGAATAACAAATCTCTTGACCCATAGGCTAATAGGTAGAGAAAGTAAATAATATAGTGCCGAGTCATGCTGAAAACTGTTTTTTTATTTCAGTCTGTTGCTGTGTCCAGTCCCAAGAGGGGATCTGTACAAAGTTGCACACACTTTCAAGTAACTTCTGATATTGGGGTCAATATGTAAATAAAAGAGGAGAAAACTCACTGTATATTTTACCTTTGATTCCTTTTACTTGAGGATATTTTTAATAATCAAATTTGTGGACAGAATGAAATACCTAGGGCCAGTCATTTATACAGAAATTTCATTTAGAATAATCTTCAAAAAAATAAAAGGTCAAACAAGTGACTCATGAAACAAGGTAAACCAACTCTAAGGTAAATAGGTGAAAGAGAGCCAAAGGCAAAAAATGATAGCTCTCTCCCAGGGATGAAATGAAGATGGATGCAGATGGTTGAGGCAGCTGTGGCTGATGCAATTTAATTATAAGCTTATGCAGTCCCTGTGAGAAAACAGTAAGTGAATACATTAAATTACTCTGATAGTCCATCTTCAGGACAAATGCCCACATAAAAGAGACCATTCAGAATCAAACTGGTTAATTCTATTTTTAAAGTAAGTATAATTATTTAAAATACACTTATTAAAGATTGAATCATATCTCCCCTATCAGTATCTCAGACTATACTGTTTAAGGGCAGTAACTTGGATCTCCATTTTTAGCATGCAGATGGTGATTCGAGTTGGGGACACTGCCAGCTCTGTGCATTAATGCACATTTGATAGATTTTCATCTTACCTCAGACAGCCAGGCCCAGCCATGGCAGCCTCCACCCAGGCAGAAGTCCTTTCAGAGAGCTGAGCTGTCCCTACTCAGGAGAGATGGACTTGGGTGAGGAACCAAGCAAGGAGCTCACTCTCAATGCCCTGTGTCATGGGAACTTCTGAACTGATCCTGTGTGTGTTCAGGAGATCTAAACTCAACAAGGGATCCTCTTTTCTGTTTCTTCCTTTCTCTGATAATATGGAATCTGAGGAATGGGCGGGATGGATAAGAAAAATTCATTTATAACTAAGTGTTATCTTTCAATAGCATAACCCTTCTACCAACCTAGCAGATTACTAAAACATGCAACCTCAAACCTACTCTGCTGTAGTTGCATTGTTGGAAGATTGTAATCACATTCCTATTTCCATAGTTTATCTTTTACTTTCCTGGTCATTAATATAACCATACTATCTGACTCATGCAATATTTTATTTTCATGGTCAGAGGCAGTAAAATAGAGATTTCACTGGACTTCAAATTGCGAGACCCAAATTCAAGTCTCTGCCACTCATATTACACAAAGTCATGGTGGAAAAAAACATAAAGTCATGGTGGTTAAAAAATCAGGCTCCAGTCAGATCGCCTAAGTTCCCCTCTATGAGCTTTGGGCAAGTTATAGTTACTCAATCTCTACCTTTCTGTTTCCTTAATCATAAAGCTAGGTTAAGTAATGGTATCTACACATAACAGGACTGTCATGAAGGTTAAATGAATTAATATATGTATAGCATTTAACCAGTAACTGGTACACAATAAGCACTCAATAATGTTATAATTAGCTTAATGAGCTCAAGCAAGTACAGTCGGCCCTCATTTATCACGGTTAATCAGTTCCAGACTCTACAGCGATAAATGAATTTCTGCGAAGTAGGATTCTTTAGATAGCTGTACCTCGCTACTTCTCGCTTGGACTTTCGCGGCTTCACTCTATCGCCCAGTGAAACCTCAAAAGTCGAAGCATGAAGTGACGAGGAACGACTGTAATTTCATCTCACTTTCCTCATTGTAAAAATGAGAATATCTAGCCCTACATATCAATTTCTTTCTTTCTTTATTTTTTTTAATCCTCACCCGAGGACATTTTTCCATTTTTTGTTCAGATAGAGTGGGAGGGAGAGGGAGAGAGAGAGAAACATTGACATGAAAGGGACACATCGAGTGGCTGCCTCCTGCACGACCCAACCAGGGCCGGGGACAAACTGCAACCAAGGTATGTGCTCTTAGCGGGAACCGAACCCGGGTCTCTCTGGACCACAGGCCGACGCTCCGAGCCAAACCGGCCAGGGCTATGTATCCATTTCTTAATCCTGTAGCAATTGTCAAGAGTATTAAAAGAGCCCTGGGCAGTTTGGCTCGGTGGTTGGAGTGTTAGCCTGCGGACCAGAGAGTCCCACTAGGGGCACGTACCAAAAAAAAAAAAGAGTATTAAAAGATATTTTGATTATGGAACATTGGGTTTCCTGTAACCCCGTCAAACTGAAAATGGAAAATATAGTTGCTTGCCCGGCCAGTGTGGCTCAGTAGAATAAGCATCTTCCCATGGACTGAGAGGTCCCAGTTAGATTCCCAGTCAGGGCACATGCAAGATTGCAGGCTTAATTCCCAGTAGGGGGTGTGCGGGAGGCAGCCGATTCATGTTTGTCTCTAACATCAATGTCTCTATCTCTTTCTCCTTCCCCCTCTTTCTAAAAAATCAATAAAAACATGTTTTTTAAAAAAAGAAAACACGGTTGTTCTAATATTTTTAATTAAGAAGACCATTCTGATTCCATTTGGTTTTGGGGGAGCTTGGAAACCAGAAGGCAAGCTCTGCAACTAGTTAGTAGTGATATATCTCCGCCTTCCTGAGTCTCATTTTTATCATCCTTAAAATTAGGTAACTGGATGATACAGTCTCTGAAGTTCTTTAAAGCAATATGGTTTTCACCAACATCAGGAATATAAATAAATCTTAAACTGTGTGAACAACTTCTCAAAGAGAACTAAGTCATTACTTACTTGTTTTTAAAAGAATTTCACTTTAAAGAAAAAGGAAGCCAAGCATACATGTTTTCATTAAGATACCAATCCTGAAGTGGAAGGAATGGATTTAATGCCAAAAAGCTGTCAGAATTAATAACCAGCTCAAAAGCTAAAGGTCATCATCTACCATAGTTAAAGTAGATGCTAACCTAAACAGCAAGTTAGATAGCAAATGGAGAGTATATAATAATGAATTACAGAATTAAAACTGACATAAGCCAGTTTCAACAAGTGGACACATCTGATAGAAGCAAACATGTGCAAAGGCAAGGCTATCCACCCTTAGAGGTGACCTGAAAGAGGGGGAGGGAAAGCTTACTACTATTTTTACTCTGGCTAATAAGAAGATGAAGCTGAATGAACTGAGATGTTATAGACCCCTAACAGCAGATTTTTCATTAATTGGGCCAATCTGACCACTGTTTTTTTCTGTCACTGAGAACTTTCAGCATCAGGCCCACAAGTCTCTCTTCCCCGCAACTCCTGTCATTTTAAGTGACATTATGACCTATACAGACCACGTCCTGACACCCTGGCCTCTCAGTCAGTTCCTTAAGCTTTTCCTCAATGATCTTTCCTCTATTCTATCTCATTCATACTCCCAGGACACATCTTGAACCTTGTCATCTCTACAAACAGCTTTACCTCCAAAATCACAAATTCAGACATTCTCTTTCCCACCAGTCTCCAATCCTTGTCAAAGAGCTCCCCACTCCATGAACAATTCTTTCATCTGTGAACTCTAATCCATTGACCCTCCCTTTTTCTTCCTACCCACCAGCCTTCCTATCTTCACTCCTTCCTTACTCAACTTAAGATATAAGAGCCATCACCATCATCATTCTCTAGCAATCCTTTGCAAATAATCCCTACCCTCTCCCCTTCAAAATGGAGGGAATCAATCATTCACATCCTCTATAGACTTGAGGGTGCCACTAAGTAAGCATTCATTCATTTACACAACAAATGTAGTTTTCAAACAACGTGGGTTTGAACTGCACAGGTCCACTTACACAGGGAGTTTTTCAATTAACGCATGCAGTTCAAACCTGCTTGTTCAAAGGGCAACTCCTTGGTTGGGGACACACAGATTCAAAGGGCCAACTTTAGTTATACAAGATTTTCACCTGCGTAGGAGGTCAGCATTCCTAACCTCACATTGTTCAAGGGTAAACTGTGTTCTTCTACGGAACAGGCACTGTATCTATCAGGTTCTGAGGCAGGGAGAAGGGTTTGTTAGTAAAAACAGACCCAGAGACTATCTTCATGGAGTTTTTATCTACTGGGCTGGCAAGGAGGAGAGACATAAGTAAACAAATGGACCAACTTTTAAAAAGCATGCTCAGTCCTGAATGGTATAGCTCAGTTGGTTGGAATATTGTCCCCTACACTGAAAGGTCTTGGGTTTGATTCCCAGTAAGGGCACATACCCAGACTGTGGGTTCAATTCCCCAGCTGGGGCACATTATCCCTGGTTAGGGCATTGAAAGAGGCAACCGATTGATGTTTCATTCTCAAATCAATGTGGGTTTTTTTTCCTTTCTCTCCTTCCCTACCCCTTCCTCTTTCTCTAAAATCAATAAACGCAAGTCCTCTGGTGATGATTTAAAAAAAAAAAAGTATGTTCAGTAAGCTTTTGTGGATTTCACACCACCTATAATTTCCCCCTCTCCTTTATTTGGTAGCTTGCTTCCCCACTCTCCAATGGCTTGTATACTTTATCATTATTCTACAAATCTCCCATTTCCTTTGCTCCTCTCCATTTCTCACTGTGACTTAATAGCCCTGCCAAAGAAAATGGGAGCCAATTGGCAGGATCCCTCATTTTCCTCAACAAATACCCTCTGCACACATGCTCATTTCTTCTGCCTCAATAGCTCAGATGTTCATGGTCTTCTCAAACACCATCTCAAAGGCACTGCTACTTCAAACCTCCTACACCATCACCAAGCTTTTCCTTTTTCTTAGACAACTCCCTACAAGGAACATAAAAACATCCTTCATCCTTCAAAATCTCCCATTTAAGAATAAAAACCAAAATCTTCCTTAAAACTTCCTCTAGGTACCATGGATATTTGTATGATTTCCTTAATATAGCCAAATTTCTTCAAAGCAATGTATATCCATACTGCAATTTCTCAGCTTTGGCCTCTGATCTAAACCACTAGTATCACTACTCTTTTCTCACAACAGTAGAGTGATCATTAAAACCTGCTTAAAACCTTTCAATGGCTTTTCCATTTCATTAAAAATAAAACCCAACCCTTTAACCTGGCCTTAAAAGCCCTACAAGCCTCACCCTCTCTCATATCTCACTCTTCATCCAGCCTCCCTGCCTTATTTCTCTTCCATGAGAATACTAAGCACCTGTCTGGCTCCGGGCCTTTGTCTTCACAAATTCTTCTGCCAGGAATGCTCTCATCCCTGACCTTGAAGGATCTGCACTGACTTTTTCCCCTTTCCATTAAACCTCAGCTTGAATTTACTTTGTCAAAGAGGCTTTTTCTGAAAACCTAATCTAAGGTAGCTATTATGTCAATTCTATTATATCCATTCTCTGCATAAAGCAATCAGACATTTAAAATTTTATTTTATCTTCTCCCCTACCCCCAAAGAATAATTTGTAAGGGTCGAGAGAGCAATTTGTTCACTTCTATATCCCTACTACCTAGAATAATGCCCTGCACACAGCTGGTATCCCATAAATTTGTGGAGCTGATTAGAACAAATGATGTAAGACATATCAATTTTTTGAGAAAGCAGGTTCTGCCTCAGCTGCCAGACATAATCTTTTAAAAAAATCCATCCTGAAAAACTTTATTTTCAAAACATCAGTAAAAAGATAACTTTTACCAATTGTTTCTATTCTCATAGTATTATCTAAAAAGTTTTTTACAAAACTTTCCTACTAGAAACCTGTTTCTCTCTACTGAAATTCAAAAACTATAGTTCACTACATGGTAACAATTATTTAACTGTTTGAGACAGGAACTAAATTCAAACCCAAACTCATGTAAGTAAAGAACTATATAGATGACCTTAATGGAATTTTGTTTCCTCAGTCTAAGAATTCATTCTATTTGTGGAAATACAGTGGGTTCAGGTAGGACTTTGTTAAATGACTAACCCAAAACTCTCATGAATGACACACTCCTCTACTCTAAATTCTGGTCCACCCCT